TATTAAAACTCAGGGTCCATAAAAGAGTTGGGGTTATCCACTGAACTTAACTGACAGGAAATTTGTAACAGGCAAATAAAGTACTTCTATATACAGCACTTAACTAAAATTATCACACAATGCTTCATTAACTTGTGGAATTTACCACCTCAAGATATAGTGTTCGGCCTGTAGCTTAGATGGCTTTTAAAAGGAGGATGGAAATCAATTTCTGGGGTGAGCAACCTATGGCCCTACAGATTTGGCCAGGAATCATGGAAGCTATAGTGTAACAATATTTGGAAGGCATTGATCTATCATTGATCCATCACTGATTTATATCCATGAGTAGGCCAAGAGAAAGAAAAATCTTTATGAGTCAGCTTGACTGTAGTTTAAAAATTAACACTGAAACCAACTATTAATAAAAATTAGAAAATAACATTATCACCAAGCAATGTTTCCACCTTAAAAAGTACCCGAAATATTGCATCGTAAGCTTTTGTGGACTAGAGCACATGCTATAAAAAAATCTATCTTCCTCTAACTGTTAAACTTCCTATTGGCTTTCACATTTCAAATGAAGTTCTGTGGATTTGTTTTTTAAAAGGCAGTGCAGAAACAGAAATATAACTTACATTAGGACACACCAAAGTTTTCTTGCTTCTAAAGTTTCCATCGTGGCTTTTGTCACCTGTTTTATAAAGTAAACCTTTAAATACTTTAAATCCCCTCAGGGTGAAATAGTTGGCTGTCAGTCATCTGTCCTTCCAATGTTCATTTTTACTACCACCTAATTCTGCTGCACGCCCAGACCAAGCCGTAAGCACCAGTACCCGGGAGAAGAGCCGGGTTCAAATCCCCCTCACTTGGCTATGAAGCTCACTGTGACCTTGGAGGCCACTCTCTCACTTCTGCCCAACCTACTTCACAAGGTTGTTGTGGAGCATAAAAGAGAACTACTTACATGCCACATTGAGCTTCCTGGAGAAAAAGGTGGGGTACAAATACAATCAATCAAATAACCTGCTTCGGGGGTTCTGGTTTGCCATTGTGTGGGGCGGGGAGGAGGGGCGCTACTGGACCCAAGGTTGGCCTGACCTGGCAGAGCTGTTCTAAGTTCCTAGCCAGGAGATAGAGCCTCCACATACTGACTCAGTCTACCTCTGAAGGCCAGGAGCGAGCCAGGACCCCCGGCCTACCTAGCAGGGCTCCTCTCAGGGCCACAGGGGACCCAGGAGTCCTAGTCAAGGCCACCCCCTTCCGCCTTGGCTCCTACCTGTCCTCCTCCAGGCAGTGCCAGCTCGTCACTCCGCAGACCGACGAGCGGGACGAAGGCCTCGGCCTCCCCCATAGAGTTCGTTGCAAACGCCCCGTCGCTTCTTTCTTTCTTCTTATTCCTCCTCCTGCTGCTGCCTAGGAAACGGCCTCTTCCGGCAACGCACACCTACCTGACCAATCATTGTGAGGCTGAACGAACTGAGCCAATCACAGGAAGCCAGGCGGGACTTCTCTCCCGACCAATAGGAAACGTAAAAGGAGAGAGCCAATCAGAGGAAGCGAGGGGTGTTCTCTGCCTTCCAGCCTCACCGACCACGTGGCGGTGCCCAGTTTGGCTGAGCCGAGCAAAGTAGGCGGCGGCAGCAGCGGCAGCAACAACAACTAAGATCCTTCCTGGAACTTGTTAAGGGGGACCCACCTAGTCCAGCATCATTTTTGCAGTGGCCGACCCACGCCTCCGGGGTCTCCAATCAGGATTTGAGCATATTAACCCTCTCACCCTCTTGTGGTTTCCTGCAGCTGGTATTCAGAAGGCATTGCTGCCGCTGACAGTGGAGGCAGAGCATAGCCATTGTGGATAGTAGCCCCCTCCTCCGTTAATTTATTCGATCTTCTTTTAAAGGTATCAAGGTTGGTGGCCATCTTGCCTCCTGCGAAAGTTTCAGTGTTTAACTACGCGCCGAGTTTAAAAGTCGCCGAGCTCGGTGCCTGTATCTGAAGTGTGTCTTCACATAGGCGGGCCTGTCTGCCGGAGCAGGCTAAAGACTCCGCTTGCCCAGCATCCTGCTATCAGTGGCCAAACCAGTGGGTTCTTCTATTGTTTATTGCAATTACATCCCACCTTTTTATCCCATGACATTTAATTCCCAACAACCCTGCGCGGTAGGTTAGACTGAGAGGGAGTGGCCACCCAGTGAGCTTCGTGGTTGATCAAACATGGGCAATGGTGTTGTATAGTGACGAATCCCTCCAGAAAGCAGTTTTCACATTGCAGATGTATGTGTATACTATTTATCTTGTTTGAGATTATAATCTGTTGGGAGAGGGTCATCCTGACTAGATTCTTGTTTGGTTTCATGCTCTCCAGTGAAATGGGATGACACACGTCTCTTACATTGAAGGGCTTTCCTGCCTGTTTGCAAAACATTCACACCCACCCACCCATCTGTCAGGAGCCACATGCCAAGCTAGGACAGAAGCATAATAAACATGTCAGCTGACATTGTTGACTTAGTAGTTTCAGACTGAGGACCCACAATAATGTGCTTGTTACACAAGCATAACACAAAATCATGTGATTTTTATGGTAGGGTCAGCAAGGAAGGCTTGCTTTGAACACTTAACCATTAGATTGCTGTTGATCTCTGGTTGATTTGCTAATATGACAGCATCCTGACTTTAGTGCTTACTTGAATTGCAAGATAAAACTTTGCCACTCCCCTCCATTCCCCTGTGAAAAGGTATCCTTAAGAACAGGTGGAAATCTCTCAAAAGGAGTTAACAAGTTGATTTAAGAAAGATCACACAGAAGGAAAATTTTATGACCCACCCTCAGCCCAGCAGTCCCCTACACACCCATTGTTCAAGGGGCACTCCCCAACTCTTCTTGGAATAGGGGGCTGTTTAGGCACTAAGACCATAGCCAGGGCAAGTGGCAAGGAGCTGTATCGGTGCCCCCTGTCCCTTGTGTCCTTGGCAAGGGGTTGTAACATAGCCTCTGAAGCCAGCAAAACAATGGACAAGAAACTCAAAAAAGTTTGCTCTTAATAATGTCACAGGGTGACTGGGGAGGAGGTCCCACAGGGCTGCTGTGATGGCCCACACCAGCAGTTGAATTACTCCACCAAGGCACCCAGAGGAGCCTCTGCACCTTGCCTAGCTGCCCAGAGGAGTGGAGCAGCAGCCCAGGGAGCAGGCAAGCTCTTTGCCAGAGTGGAGCTCTGATTTTTGTGCGTAACACACACACACACCCCGCCTGCTACCTTTGACTGCAGCCAACCTAATAAACCACGACCATAAGATGTGATGAATGATCCATGGTGCTGGGGAAAGAGGCCACTAGAAGATTCATATACCTTCCTCACCCTTTCAGGTGAGACCAGATCCTAAAGCCCTGAACTTTGTACAACCATCTTATCTCCTCTTCCAAGGATGACTATGAGGGTATTTCTGCAGGAACCACGTTGGAGGCAGTGATTCTGAAAGGGCACCATTTTGCATCCTGCTAGGAATGTGGGAAGAGGGAGAACCCAGGGCTTGGGCAGGGGTTAAGGAGAGTGGTCTCGAATCAGGGACATCTGGAGGTACTTTCCTGAATTAATATGGAGATGAAAATGCTGGATTTGGATGGTGAGTGGCACATGCCAAGACATGGGGGATACTTGGGTAAGGTACATAAGGAGCTGCCTTACGCCAGGCCAAACCATTGGTCCCTCTAACTCAGTATTATCTACACTGAGTGGCGGCGACTCCCCAGGTTTCAGGCTGGTGTCTCTTCCAGCCGTACCTTGATATGCCAGGGATTGAGCATGGAACCCTCTGAATGCAAAGCAGATGCTTTACTACTAAGCTGTGGCTCTTCCCTGGGTGAAACAGACTATCCTCACCTCTCAAAGGGTCTCCACCAATCAAATTTACAAGATGCCATAGAAAGTCCACTCTGCTGATGCATGTGCACCCAGTGTTCTTGAATTCCTATAGACCAGGGCCTGGCCCCCAACACACTCAAGCAGCAGGCACCATTCTGGGTAGTGTTATTGCAGCACATGGAGGCTCCTTGCAGGCCAAACACTCAAAGGCTGCATGTTTCCTCCAAGAGGTTCTGCTCATCTTTCGCCTGGGTTCCAGAGCTGAACTTATCCTCGTTTTCAAGGCTGTTGTGGCCTCACCCTTCGAACCACTGCACTCCATCTACTGCAAGGAGCTCAGCAACAAAAGTGGGGAAACTCAGGGTCCTCTTGGTCTGGAAGGAACTCTTTATCAGCCACCTGGGCAATATGGTCCTATGACCCGACCCTGACTGCTTGCCTAAGGTGAACTCAATCTTCCACAGGGCTCGGGAAATTACGCTTCCTCACCTCATGGTCATGGTCCATCAGGAAAATACAGATCAGAACTTGGCATTTCCTGTCACAGCTTTTAAAACTCCTTGCAGGTTCAATAGTGTTTTGACACCTAATGAGAAGGGTTTCAGTTCAGAAAGATGAAAGACCAAAACCCATCTGAGAAGACAGAACCACTTGCAAGGACCCCAGTCTATTAGCTGAAAGTTCAACTGAAGGTTTCTTTCCAAAGAAACATATTTAGGGGTACAAATTACTAATTGAAAACTGGGCAGGGCCATGGATAAGGCTATGTGGACTTGCCCGGCACTGTGTTGTCAGCTTTCAGTGACTACTGAAGAGCTACTGTTCACCCAGGTTTTGGGGTATCTGTGTTGCTACACTTTGTAAATAGGTATTATTAAACAGTCTATGTGCTCTCGGTTGACGTTAATGTTTTATTGTTTGTTTGAGCAAAGAATTGTAGAGCTAGAAGGGACCATGAGGATCATCTAGTCCGACCCCTGCAATGCAGGAATCTTTTGCTCAACATGGGGCTCGAACCCATAGCCCTGAGAAAAGTCTCAAGCTTGACCAACTGAGCTATCCCAGTTTATGGTTTTATTCATTGGTATTGTACCCAGCTTTGGAACTCCTTTATAAAGAAAAGCGGGTAGCAAATTTTAATAAAATAAATAATTGTTGCAACTGCTTTTTGTTTTTAATGAATCAAGAAAAGCTGGATTCAGCACTCTATAAATTAAGACGGGAAACTGAAGCCCCATCCTGAACCACTGGAAATGTGATTCAACAATGTCTAGACATCTTAAGAATTCAACAGACATTATTCACATACCCTTTCAAAGGTACCTTGCAACCATAACTAGAAACTTACTTTCTTTTAAGGCTGAGATTCTCACACAGCTGATTTCAGTGATTTTTCTGCACTTGCACAGAGGCACAATATGCACATTGCCCCATGAGCTTTTTGATATTGGTTTGTGCAACCCTAGAAGTTGCACTGTGTGTCCCTCCTTCTCACATGTTTTGCCAAGTGGATAGGCATGAGCTTGGCAGACTAAGTTTGTTAGAGCCTATGTAAATGAAATGGTAGTTTAGTCAACCTAGGCTGACTTGCTATTCAAACAACATGTATTTCTTTCAAAACAATATTAACAGAGTTTCTCCACATTTTCTTTCCAGATCTTGAGTTCTATAGCCCAATACTTTCAAAACGTACAGAACTTGCAAGAACAAATACTGAATTTAAAAAGAGAGAGAGAGAAATCAATGGTACCTTTTAAAATACCCAGAATAACAAGCTATCTCCAGTCTGGCACTGTAGTTATAAGAATCCCTCCTGAAAAATCACTTCTTTTTTGACAACAATGTAGGTACTGAAATTGAAGGAACTAGAAACACTATGAATGAAAATGCAGTTTTCTGCAGTTTTAAAAAAAAGGTGGTGGTAGTGGAAGAATCAATGTTCTTTGGAATCACAGAGTTATCAAAAAAAATTTGGATTCTTCTAGAATCTCAACACCTCCTTTACAAATCAGTTTCTTCATGTAGAATTCAAGTCTGAACATTTTCAGGTCAACAGTCCAAAATACAGAGGGTCTCTGACCAGCAGGAAGCTACATTGACCAAGAAATATTGGTGTTGTTTTTAAACATGTGATGGCTGCTGAAAAAAAGGCTTTAGAAGACAGATATGCCCCCATTAGAGGAAATTATGAGCCTTATGTTTCCAGTGCAAAACTGTTGACATGTGATGGGCAAGTGGAAGGAGCAGCGGAAGAAAGGAAATGGGAAGAGCAGACAGGGGACAAACTTAAGAGGCAGACTCTCCAGCCACCTTGGTTGGAGACAAACCAACAGGTAGCTCAAGTCTCACTGCCAACTTTCGTTTCTGCTAAAAGAACATTCCACAGCTCTGAGGCAGCAGGGCGACTTAACAGGTTTCCGTCTACTGTTCAGTGTGAAAGTGGGCCACAGTTGGGGCTCTCAGCTTGTGTGTGGCTCGGTCAGAGCTGCCTTTCTCCCTTCTAGCGCTGAATGGAATGGATCAGAGGGAAGTTCACGAGTTACAGTTCCCCACGTGTCATGAAATGTGAGCGATCTGTCGGACCCGAGTCTGTATTTCTTGTCGACACAAAGGGCAGGTCTCTAGTTGCAAGGCACACTCCATGCACAAGTCACTAAAAGAAGGACAACGATATAAGATGGGTTACTAGGGCAACTTCTCTCCAGGCAATAGTATGCAAACATTTAAGTTACACAGAACTCTTCATCAGGAACAACAGAAATGTCTTTGCGCTTTTTAAAAAAACAAACAAAGTCCATTCATTTTTGTTGTGGGAATGGAGCTGTAGCCAAATAGCTTTTATTCCAGGTAGACCAACTGAAAATAATGGACCAAAGCTAGTTGTGCCTATTTATTTTATGGGACCACTCTGAGCATGGATGCAACTTATGTCATGTAGTTCACGGGAACACTGAATGGGCGGGTGGGTGTGTCACAACTTGCATGGTCTGTCAATGCCAATTTTGTTGTGGACAGTTGATAGTACAGAGACAATGCACATATTCTAAGCAGTAAAATCCATCTTCTTCGTTGCCTCAAGACTTATAGGGCTTATGTACACATGCAGCAGTGGGGGAATAAGGTGGGTAGTAGAATCTTGAGGGAGAAGCGTGGACAGAACCACGTCAGACTGCAGGTATGGCAGCAGCAACAACAACAACAACAAAATCCCTGCAAGTAGAAACCTAGTACATCAGGAAACAGACTGATCTGGAACATCTCCTTGCTGTGCTTGTTGTTCTTTGCAGGATTCCCCTCTTGATGAGGAGGAAAAAACAAAAGTGACATTCGTCACCTGCAGCCTGAACTGGCAGAATCCCTTCTACCACCTCATCCTACTACATATGCAGACCAGGCCTAACATGGAATGCAAAGCTTTACAAAAAAGAAAATCAATAATAATCATAATGTCATGAATAATTAATAATAGTATTTTTAATCCACCTTTTAGAATATATATCCTGTATAGTCTTAAATGTGTTTGTGAGAGGGGGCGTTTATTGGTTTTTGTTTTATTGTATATTTTTGTCTTCTCATTTTAAATTTTTATGTTGTGAGCAGCCCAGTATACCTTGAAGGGCAGTATACAAATTTAATAAACAAACAAATAAATAAATAATCCCTCCAAGACCAATTACAGCTTATCATATTAGGGCATGTAAGACAGGGGAAGCTACAAAACTATGATAAATAAAAGGAATAATTATCCACCATACCTGTGACCACATGGCCTGAGTTCTGTGTCTGCTATTTCATCGCAGCAAAGAGTGCAGCAATTCTCTCGAATGCTTACTTGCTTTAGCAAGGCCAGTCGTCTATGTCTGAAGAGGAAAAATCATCAGGAGAAAAATACTATTTATATATTCAGTTCAAAGAAACAATTTCAAGGGATCCTGCTCATATCAAATGTATTTGACTAGGGACATGATCACCTTACATGACAATGAATCTCAGTTTAATATCTGTGAATTAGTATGTGAAGCAATGGAAACAGCAACAACAACAAATTCAATTAACAATTTATTCAATTCTGTTAACTAAGAATTAATGCTCTGCATATCCACTAGTTTATCAAACAAGCACACAGATTTGATACTAAGCATGAAATTGGGCATCTGGAAGATCTAAACTTCTCGTTTAAAGCTACCACCACTGGAAGAAGTTGTTACCCCTTATAGTTGGAAAGCTCTCCCTCCCAACTAGCCTTTCTCTCATTCCCCTGATAAACCAATCAACAAAACTTCAGATGTTATTCAAAAACCTGAATCACAGAAACTGGATAAATTGCACAGAACTAATCTAATCTATGAAAGTTGGCTTTTGTTTACATGATTCATTCTCATGGAATAATCTGCACCTAAGTTTGCCCTGGATACAACTCTCAGAATGACAGGTATCCAGCATTTCCCACATTACATTTTCAAGCTGCATTTTCTACAATCAACGCACAAAACGGTCCTGAGGTTAAGTGGCTCTTCCACTGTGAAAGGCTGCAGTGTGTGAAACTACAGGAGTTTGATAAAACTTCACATGTGTAAAAACTTCACAGGATACCCTTTATTTATCATATCCAAATGGGTCAAAACCTACAAAGAACAAGACTACAGCCTTCAGTTCCATGCACTGACAAGTGGAAAATATTACCTTGGTAAAATGATTTTCTCTTCTGCTGTCAAGAAGGCATAGTCATTAAAGGTGCTAAATTTAGCTGATGGTGGATATTTGAAAGGTTTTGCTCCAAAGTTGAACTCACACTGTTGATAAGACATGAAACTAGCTGCAGGGAAGAAGCCAGACCTGCAAAGTCAAGGGAGACTCATATTAGAGCACCACCATGCAAAGCATCCGACACACAGTGCCACTTTGTATTAGACTGAGAAATACCCATGACTTGTAGAATGATCCAGGTGTGCAGAACAGATTGGTCCAAGGTCACCCAGTGAGCTTCATGGCCAAGTGGGGATGTGAAGCCTTGTCTCCAAGGTCCTAGTCCAACACACTAACCACTACACCATGCTGTCTTTACTACAAGTCATGGCTTGTTTTCTAGTTAGGGATAGGAAGGGCTGGCTAGCCCAAGTAGATGGGTTGCAGACTGAAGAACGCCCCCCCTTCCCAGGTTTGCTTGGATCCTTAACAGGCAGCTTCAAACAGGCCCCTTGCATATCTATTCCCTGCCTGCCTCCAATAAGGTAAAGGTAAAGGTACCCCTGCCCGTACGGGCCAGTCTTGACAGACTCTAGGGTTGTGCGCCCATCTCACTTAAGAGGCCGGGGGCCAGCGCTGTCCGAAGACACTTCCGGGTCACATGGCCAGCGTGACAAAGCTGCATCTGGCGAGCCAGCGCAGCACACGGAACGCCGTTTACCTTCCCGCTGGTAAGCGGTCCCTATTTATCTACTTGCACCCGGGGACGCTTTCGAACTGCTAGGTTGGCAGGCGCTGGGACCGAGCAGCGGGAGCGCACCCCGTCGCGGGGATTCGAACCGCCGACCTTTCAATCGGCAAGCCCTAGGTGCTGAGGCTTTTGCCCACAGCGCCACCCACGTCCCTCCTGCCTCCAATACCCAGCCTGAATTCCACTCTTTGCTCACTCAGATTTCCACTTCTTGGTCCGCTGAGTAATTTGCCTCTCAAACCTCTTCACATAACATCTCTGCTTATGAGCACACTGCTCACTCTGTCCCTACTCTTTCAACTATCCAGCTTCTGGGATTTACTCTAGTCTCCAGCATGGTCAACCCACCGCTGCAGATTTGCCAACACATTCCTCCTGAGCAATTAGAATGTTTGTGGGCATTCTCCAAGGTTATAGCAGTTCTACAATGCTTGGGGAAGAGGTATAGTTTCAAACGGCCTATTATCAAATCATATCAAATCAGGGCAGCAATGTTCATCTTGTAATACACAGGACTGTGCTCCCCCCTGAAGCAACAGGGTTAGACAGCTTGGGGAGGTTGCTTGAGATCCACGAATTTGCTCCTGTGGCACCGAATGGCTTTTATCAGCTTAGGCTGGTGGGCCTGCTGTACCAGGACAGAGATAGCAAAGCATCTATGAGCCATGCTCTGGCAATCTTAGGTGAGGCAGGTGCCTCCCAGAGAGAAAGTCTTCTCAATGGTGGCACCTCAGTTATGGAATGCTCTCTACAAAGAGGTCCATCTGGAACCCTATTCTGCTGTTCTTATGGCATCTGGCAAGTGTGGTTTTATGTTCCCCTGGCCTTTTAGACTTAATTTTATTGTTATCTGGGTCTTAAAAGCTTGCTATTAATTTTTCACTGCTTTCACAAGGGCTACATACTTACACAGCAGAAGAAAAGACTTGTTTCTCAGCAGGAAGCTGGTTCCCATTTAAATAAAAGATCATTTTCTTGTCTTGCAGGTCCAGCAAAAATCCTATTGTATCACCTGAAGTCATATATAAGAAAAAACACAGGGTTGTTAGAGATCTGTTTAACAACCCACCCCACAATAGTGACTTGGTATATGCAATGGGTGGGGAACGACCTCTGCATGTGAGATAAACTTATACCAGTCCCTTTTCATATAATTAGAGTTAGAAGGTACACCAAGGGTCATCTAGTGCAACTGCCTGCAATGCAGGAATCACAGCTAAAGAATCCCTGACAGAGGGCCATCCAACCTCTGTTTAAATGCCTCCTCTCCTCCTTTATGTTGCAGCAAGTATTCAAAGACCTGATGAGGATATAGCACTGATTTCTGCACACTGTGGCTTGCAAACTGAAAACCAACTTTGGGAATGGAGGCTTCTCCCTGACATGAATCCCATGTTGCTTCCCTCAACAGCTTTAACTATGGTTTACAGTTTACAATAACAATGGTTAAAAAAACCAGGCTCAATCTTAACCAAGGCTGGTAAACTGTCTTCAAACCATGGTTAAGAAGAAAACTTTGGTTAGCACCAAGTAGGGTTATAACACCTGTAACTCTAAACCAGTGTTCCCCAACCTTGGGCCCCCAGCTGTTTTTGGACTACAATTCCCATCATCCTTGACCACTGGTCTTGCTAGCGAGGGATGATGGGAGTTGTAGTCCAAAAACAGCTGGAGGCCCAAGGTTGGGGAACACTGCTCTAAACCATGGGTAGGCAAACTAAGGCCCGGGGACCAAATCCGGCCCAACTGCCTTCTAAATCCGGCCTGTGGACAGTCTGGGAATCAGTGTGTTTTTACATGAGTAGTATGTGTGCTTTTATTTAAAATGCATCTCTGGGATATTTGTGGGGAATAAGAATTCGTTCATTTTTTCTCCAAAATATAATCCGGCCCCCCACAAGGTCTGAGGGACAGTGGACTGGCCCCCTGCTGAAAAAGTTTGCTGACCCCTGCTCTAAACTATGATTAAAGCTGTAGTGGGGAGAATTCACACAAGAGGGAAAAGAAGCAGACATTAGTATTTGAACTTTTTGTAAGTTTTAAACTATTGTTGCAAATTGTTACTGGGTTTTAAAAAAATCTTTTTGTAAACTACTTTGAGTTTTTGTTTTGTAAACATTTTATGAAATAAAAAATAAATATGTTCTGGAGGCTGACTCCTGATTTACAAATGCAATACATTTTGCAGGGAGCCAGCGTTACACTTGCTCAGAGTCATCTTCAGCATTTTCTCAAATTTAAGTAATTAGGAATCTAGGTAAGAGTTTGTAACTGGAAGGAGGAAGGAAACTTTGTGCTCCTCTTTTCCCAAATGCAGGATGAATTGACGCTACATAGATTCCACATAATGCAGAGAAGATAAAGATGAACAGAAGCACGTTAAAACATTGACCCCAGGGACTGGATGCGCATCAGAAACAAAAGTAAACATGTTGTAAATATGCTCTGAAAGATGCAGTTGTGCCTTGAGTTTGCAGTGCAGGCACCAACATGTACATATCATGCTGCTCCTCTGTAGTCTTCACCCCAGATAGCATGTTGATCTCAATACTAGATGTGCAATTTGCATGACTGGCAGTGAGAGCAGCAATAAGAATGTCTGTGTGGGGTCTGTGGGGACATTTGAAGGAAGAGGGGACATTTGGTTTTTCCAGGAAAGGCTTCCTGTGCTTCTAGTTTACTGCTAAAGCACTGAGCTAAAAGCACAGGAAGCTGATGTATGGACATGTCCCGAAAGAATCACCTGGGAAAGAGACCCCTTGGATCCCTGGGCCATCTGTTCCATTGTCCAAAAATTCAATTTCAATCAAGATCCTTTCCTGGCTACACTTGTTTCTCCTTCAGTGGCATGGAAGGATCCCAACTTAGAACTAGTCCAACAATAAAAGCCTTTTCCTAGATTGTACCACTTCTGGTTATAGGCGGAGAGCTGGACAGTTGAATGCTCCCCCCATACAAAACCATTCCTGCATGTAGTGAGGACTGAAAAAAGTTTGCAGCCTAGCCTTTCCAATCTGACAGAAGACGGGACCTCAGGCCTAGGAGGCTCAAATGTGACCCTCTTCCATGTCTCTTGGGACTCTTTGCAGGCCACACACGTGTGCCAGCCATATTTTCTTTTTCCTGGGCCATGGCCCTCGCTGGCTTTGTTCCATGCTCTCCTAGTGTTTCTGCCTAGCTGGAATGTGTCCTTGAACTCTGGTGAACCTTGGACTCTGGCCTGCCCGGATGGACGACAGAGAGGTGTGTGTGTGTAGAAGCTAGCCTTCTGCACAAAGGTAGGCTCTGTCCACTTTTGCTTCTGGCCCCACCCACCAATGGCATGTGGCCCTCAGAAGGCTGCTGTGAAGGGATGAAAATGACTCTTCACTTACAGTGACCTACAATGATAGGAGACAAAGGAGAAGGGATTCTAGGCTACTAAATTGGCAAATTTGCTCCCCTCTGGGGAGTGCTAGAACAATTTCCCAGCAAATGAAGACGACAACAGCAACAACAACTGCAACTAGATGGGTGGAGTACCTTCCTTCCAGCACGGGTGGGAATGTGGTTTACTTCTGGCATTATACCAAATCAGCTGCCGGCAGCCATCGTATGCACAGGAGTACTCATCGTCCCCGATACCGTAACCTTCCTTCAGGGAAGATAAAATACAGCATTTATTTTTCTTGAGACATGACAATACTTGTGGGAATCTTGTTTTTAAAGCTTCTCAACCATTTTGCATAGCTATGGGCACATGGGGGGTATCAATATGTTCTTTCTTAACAAGGGTGAGATCTGAATGCAGGTTGGAATATGTGGTCCACTGTTGGACTACACTGGGCACATTTATGCCCTCTTGCAAGTACAGACTCAGGGCTTCTCTCACCCAGAGTTGCTTCCTGCTGTGTGATCATACACTGGGTGAATTCCAGAAGGGGAAAGATCCATAGGCTATGGCTTCCTTGTTGTGTATAGCTCCCTGACACTTTCTGAAATTGCAAAACCACCTTTAAAACCTAGTCAAAAGCTAAATTTGGAGCAAATGCAATGCTACAACTGAATTTATGCTGGATTTGTGCAGGAGAGAAGAGGAGGGAGCATGCAAACAGGTGGGATATTCTGGCTCTCTTGCTTAAGGTTAAGAAAATCCCATCTGCACCAGTCATTGCACCAAACACCAGTGCACATTTTGGCATCAAAGTGCTGTGCAATAACCGATAACTAAAATACAGTTAAATGTACAGTTGTGCTGCTAGGGAAGGTGAAGAGGGGCTCTCATCTACCTTCTTCTCCAGCAACACCAACTCTCCCCACCATATCAAGGTATTTGCATCTAACCCTATACAACATTTTTACTTCAGCGAAACACCTTCCCTGTAATTGTAAACTGCAACTTTTGCCAACCTGTGCTGATTGGGGCTGATGGGAGCTGCAGCCCAAAACATCTGGAGGGCCCATTTAAACCAAAAGTTGCAAGAAAAATCAGAATCTTCACATGGCTTCTGCAAAGATGTCAGTGTTGGAACCAGGTTAACATCTCCAAGCAGGTTAGTTCCACAAGTTTAGCGCCCCAGTGAAGGCCTTCTATCTGGCTCCCATCTGCCTCTCTTCCAAAGGTGAAAGGGACCCAGAAAAGAGACTCCAAGGCCGATCCAACTTAATGAGTAGGTTCCTATGGCAGAAAGTGGCACTTACATGATTGAGGAATTTGCTGTCTTTGGTAGCCCATCCTATCTGCATCACCCCAGAAGTAATGGCTGTGACTTCATAGTACCAAACTCCAGAATCCACACAGAAAGTACATCGAACGCTTTCAAAAGACGACGCATCACATCGGGCCTAATGAACAAACCAAAAGAAAAATAAATAAATGCTTGCCTTCCAAAAGACAACAGCTACCTGGCCCTAGCAGGAGGAATTTAAATCCTTGTAAGCTCTCAGCTCCATTTTGAGGCAACAGGCTCATATTTCAGAAGAAACCGATTCTACATTTAATACTGAATAGGTAACTCACCTGCAGGGGTGAAGATGTGAGACTAAGTGCCCTGCAGGTGTGGTCTGAAAAAGGCTTGCTTTTGTTTTGTTTTGTTGTTTTGTTCTGCAAACACAGACCACTGAGAATTTATGTCTGGAGTCTGCTACAAAGTCAGGTGGAGCCTTGAGTGTGCTATCCACATGACTCTCTGGGAATCCAATGCTGCCTTGCGGGAGGGGCTCCTGATTGCCCTCCCTTATGCTTTGTTTGCATATTTGCAAATAATGCAAACCAGTAATTATTTCCCAAATTGATAGCAAGTGATACAGGGTTGTGATATGTATCCTGAATGCAGGCTTTGTAGTCCATTTTAATAAGTTCACCAGGATCACCAATAGCTGAAACAGGATTTGTAAGTCTTACTGTATCCCCTTTGATCTCAAAACCTTATTAATCATTGATTAAAACCTCTTGCTAAACTTCCTCTCTTTCTGCTATTTCAGTTGGGTTTATTAAAAAACACACACATAAAATGGCTTGGTTTGACTTACGGCCTATATTATTATCTCAAAGAGAGTGAAGTTTCTAGTGTTCTCTCTTCCAAAGGGAAATGAAACCCAAATAGTGCTATTCTGAAACTTCTTACTGTTTGGGGAAGTGTAGAAAACATAAAAATATGATGGAATTAAGCACCAAAACTCACCTCCAACCCACGTGGTGAAATCTTAAGGTATTCACTGACATCGTTACTATTCAGCATGGCATTTATGTTGGTCAAGTCAACTTTCTCGTATGTAAACTGCCTGCCTTCTTTCAAAACTGCAAAAATACATAGTTAGAAGTTGTAACTGTAGTAGAAGTCCCAATATTGCAAAACATGGACCTGGCAATCAAATGTATCTGCTCACCTGATGCTCACCTAACTGCAGAGCGTTAGTTAACCAATTTGATCAAATGGTCTGGAATCAGGGAATACATTAGATACTTTACCAGTTATAATAAAGTTAAATTTATACAAATAATAAATTAAATTGTTACTATATTTCATTCATTAAATTGAATTTTTGCTACACTTGTCAAAGATGGGAATATTGAAATTCTCAGAACGCTGAGGAGGGGTGATGGGCAGGAACTGGGAACTGTGGAAAATTATGTACCTCTTCTTCATTAAAGGGACTATCCGACAGACCACCCTCTAGTACAGGCATGTGAAAGTTTGGGTGCAAGGTCCAAATTAGGCTGGATCCAATTTGGCCTGAAAGACAGTTTTCCTCGAACCATGCCCACCCTTTTCACATCTGATGTCGCTTATGATGTCAGCTGGGGAGCAGGTCGATATGCAGCTGCAAATGAACAATTGGGGGCCTCAAAGGGTGCTCCTGAATGTTCCCTGACAAGCGAGCCTTGCTATCTGTGCTGATCAATGGTGACAGCAAGCACTGGTGAAATTCCACATTGGGAACACTGTACTGTAGCCAATCCCTGCCCAAACTGGGGCTTGCTGCAAACACCAGTGAGCTGCTCAACACTTATAGCAAGCCCTGCTTACACACTACTTCAAAGAGCCTTTTTGCAATGGCTCTGAAACAGTTCCTGCATTTTCCCCTTTTAAGCCCCTGCAATTGGGGGCTTAGAGAAAGAGACTTGTAAAAGGCCCTGCCCACCTGTCAAATTTGGCCTGCAAGTCAGATCCTGATTAGGGTCTGGCCTATGGAGTCAAAAATGGTTTCTCACCCCTGATTTCAACCTTTAAAAGGTTATAACCAGGCCTTTAGATTGCATGCAGGAACTTACTGGAAGTCAGTGTAGCTCTTTCATGAGCACAAGCATTCATATGTTACCTGTGACTTACTCCCACTAACAAGTGGGCTGCTGCATCAAAGCCAAATGAGTCCAAATTTTAAGGACTTTCCCCCCTTAAAGGCATTCCTATTTTTAGACTTTGAACAGCAACCAAGCTTTTGCCAGAGACTAGATTCTAAACTCAAGGGAAGTTGCAACCCAAAGAGAACACAATGGTGCTTCCATATCACTCCCGGTGGCCTGTGCAACTTCCACCCACGTGCTTAAGGTGAGTTGCATAACAGCACATTCAGGTCCACTTGTGAAGTGGGCCACAGTCTCCCACTACTTTTCTATAGGGATGGCTAAATTAAACTGATTAAAAAAGTGTCTGGGCACAAGGTTTTCACCAGTGCACTTCCTGCTGGAAGGAGGACAATGCAAGGCAGATGTTTGCTTGTGGCCATAAACTCTCCACAGCAAGTCACGACAAGTTACACCCATAATAATTGTACACCTCACTTAGCTCCCTCTGTGAAAATTGCTCTGACAGACTTGTCTGACCTCAAGGCTAAAATGTACAAAACTGCTACACTGTGAAGTGCCAGAAGAATCAGTTCTCTGAGTGTTCAAAGGCCCCTTAAAGGGTTAGGCAGCTACCCCAAGACATTTCCCAAATTTCCTTCACCTTGGAGTTATGCTGCTTCTGGGTTAAGTGACCCAAATTCAGTAGCAGTGCATGCACATAACACGGCTGGTTTTATCAAGGAAGTTTCACTTTCAGATTCTGAAAGCTACATTATACCATACCAGTAAAAGTTTGCTTAAATACCAAATAAAACATTGCATTTTCGAATGCAGAGCATGTCACAAGCAATGCCCCCATCTCGCAGATAAATTCTTACTTACATAGATTGTCTAAACTCCACTGGGCACAGAATCCAACTTGGCGTTTTAAGTAGTCTGGGTTATCTGTCCATTTCTCTAACAAGACTAGCTGGTCACTGATGCACGTTTCAGAAACTGTCATTTTATTTTCACCTAAAATGGTAACACAAAGTGATGATTGTCAAAAAAAACCTTCACCAGAAACAAAGATTGTTCATGCTTAAACATATCATTTTCTAAGTATCCAAAAGCAGTATTAGTTTCTCTTCTCTCTTTCTCAAAGAGGAACCAGGCAACATTTAAGCAGTCAGTGGAATTTACGTCACTGGCCATGTGATTAGCTAAGCAAAGCACCTTTTCCAAGCATCCAAGAGGGCCTTTGCAGACACCATTTCTTCTTCCCTGCCCTCCTAACACCACACCCTTGCTATCTGGTAGGGGTGGGTAACTTTTTCAGCCCAAGGAGGCAACATCCTACACACACTCACACCCCTCTCCATTCTTCACCCAGGGCTTTAACAGAGTTCAAAGATGCATCCCAGGCAAGCAAAAGCACTCAAGGAGGGTGGAAAACAGGGCTGGAGAAAGGGGGTATGGTCTGGGGAGAGGCCCAAGGGCTACATAGAGAGGCTTGGAGGACTATGTTTGGCCACCAGGCCTGAGGCTCCCCAGCCCTACTCTATAGCACTAAAGGGCTCCGTTTGAAGGCTAAACTTGTTTTGATCTTCCTCTGCCCTTGGTTGGGCATCACTTGGGCCTGTTCCTCCATTAAAAACAAGGCAACTCTTGTCAGGATATTGGGACTGTAGGCAGCACCATGCGCAGACATGCAAAACCACAGGCACAACTAAACAGTCCTGCCACACCACACAGTCATTTGGTGTTCTCTGTAGAGGAAACTGCAACATCAGACATGCTGCTCAGCTGTTTCCAGGCAACTAAGAACACCCTCCAAATCTCAGGTGGAGCCTGAGAGCAGAGGAGGGAGAGCAGTTGTCAGGTTCTGAAGGTTCACAGTAAAGAACTCCATAGCACTTGGAGCAAGGCTAAGCCATCTTGTCAGTGCCACATGCATGCTTATGAACAAAGTGTGTGTATGGTGGGGGGGGGGGAGTTCAACACACAGACTACTAGGAACCATCTTGTGTTTTCCTCATAGATTTTGAGCTAACTCACTTACTTGTTTGTGCAAACTTTTCCAGGGCTATTAGTGCAAAAAGCATTACGGTTGGGTGGGACTGGAACTCCTAAGATAAACAAGAGAATTAAAGGATACAGTATTCCCTTAAACTGACAACAAACTTTAGCCGATTTGTCAAATACAGGGAAAAACATTGCACTTTCAAGACAAAAGCATTCATGTCTTGTCGTAAGAGGAATGATCTAATCACAGGGCTTTTTTTAGAGACTCAAGCACCAAGACAAAGTCCTACGCAGAAGGAAGAAGGAAGCTGTTCTGGATTAGGGAAATATTCATGGCTCAGCTCAGAGGATCGGAAAACAAGCCACTGACTCCCACAAACCGCCTCCTTCAATTTCAGGCTTCCTCTAACTGTAGTTTGCTGTAATGTTCAAATCTGGCAACTGTGGCTTGAAGGCTACTGCTGATCATGGACTGCTTGATTCAGGAATCTGAACAAACTATAACTAGAGGCCAAAGCACAGCAAGAAATGAGTGTGAGAGACTTGAGGAGAGTGGAGCTGATGCTGATGTATTGCTGATCTTCCAAACCATGGCTTGGAGGACTGTGGTATCTGAACCGGGCCACAGAGGGGATGAAATTTCTAAGCAATTTCTTCTCACCTATTAAGTCTGGCAGGGGAGGCCATGTTCTACCTTCTATCATTTCCGTCAACACATTATAAAAAGCTTTCTTTTAACCTTTCAAAGCTTTCCAGACAAATTTGAGGCCTCTAAATTCTATTCTTTCATTAATTTCCATTGCACTAAAGAACAATGTAATGATTTTACAATGTTGGTTTTAATTTAGGACTTTTTATACATTGCTTTTTTTCTTGAAAAACAGAAATAAGTTGCCTGTAAGTTTATAAATGCTCCTAAAGGGGCAAATCCACACCACCACCTACAGATGGTGGGATGGCAACATTACTCTTCACTGCTTGCCCAGAGGAAAAAATGTGCAGGTGAGCACATGACTCTTCGCCACATGAACAACTTCTGAAGCTGACTTGTGCCTTCTGATATGGGGGACTTCTGCATTCAAGGCATGTGCTCTACCTCTCAGCAATGCCCCCTCCCCATTTCTATGCATCCCCTCAACACACACTCACTACTGAAAAAGGAGGATGGTGGCGGCAGCAGCAGCAATGATGAAGGCTTGACCCTATGTTGGGAGCTGTTTCCTCCCAAAACTTAACAGGATGAAATGTAAGGCCCTGATCCCTCTGATGTTCACACACAGGAGACATAGCATTTAAAGAGGAACAACATTAGAGGAGGATTAAATTGTGATACTCACCAAGCTCTGCAGCAAGTATTCCAAGATCCCTTGGCTGAGTAAACCTACACTTGCAGGGCCTGCAAGAACACTAAAAATGAAACACGTGCATCGAAGCTGCTGCATTACGTTTTTTAAAAGTCAATTCCAAAGAGCTTAATGTACAACTCTGCCCTCCCTGATATCTTGTGCTCTATAGGCATAAGGCATTGTGCAAGAAAGAAAGAAATCGAGTATATTTAGTTTAGCTTTAAAAAAAAAATTAAGCAGGAAAAGCCAATGTTTTTTAAATACAGTAATATTGCATCTTAAGCACATGTAACTTGTGCAATTTCAGCCAAAGGTGGCAAAGCCTACTCAGTGTGCTGGCTCCAGAAGGCAAGGGATGATTGTACAGGGGCAGTTCCAAGGGTTTGGGTAAGCATACAATCATACTGTGCTTAAAAGGATCTCAGAAAGCTAGACTCCACAGATAAGTTCACAAGATGGCATGAAGGTAATATCCATCCCCTTGTTTTTAGTATTAACCTCCAGCAGTCAGCTGTATATTGGATGCAGGCAGGAGCCCACAAATTTTTGCTAGGCGTGACAGCCAAGTATTGTTCCTACTGGACACTTCCCAGACCCAGCTACACAAAGTATGTACACCCCTCTTGTATTTACTGCCCCTAGTTAAGGGGCATTCAAATGGAGGAGCAGGAGGTGTATTGCAACCCCCTCCCACTGTAACCGATAACAGTAAGTGTGATTTCCAACAAAACAACACAGCCTGACACTACTTTCAAAGAGGAACCCTTTGCTTTCTGGTGTTGCCAGCATCATTTTTTAAAAAAAGATGTTGCCTACTGTAGAGGAATACATTGGAGACACCCTGCTGGGCATCATTGATGATATGGAGACCACAGCTGTGGGTGCCTGGGTGCAGCTGAACAAAACATTTTAAAGACTCGTTGATTTCAATCAGGGAGTTAATGTTCTAAGCACTGCCCCAGGATATTGAGGGCGTACTCTTGATAATGATGGGAGTTACATGCAACGTATTTACACCAGATCACCTGTGGCCTGAGCAGAGAGACTGGAGGGGAGAATCTAGAGCAAAACAAAGCAGGGTGCCTGTTAATAACCCCCACAGTTACATAAAAACATTAACAATCCTTCTTACCTGCAAGTTTTTCTGCCAAACAGCCTAGTACTGCTGTTGTGTTCCGGTGTTTGGCAGGATGACAGGCATCCTGGCAAGCAACAGCTCCACTTAAACTTAATATTTCCGTTAACTTCTGCAATGCATCCTAAACAAGACAAGTTAAAATGCTACTGAATAGTAGAACACTGAGAGACACAGTCCCTTCTCTTTGTCTCAGCTCCAGACAGAACCAGAAGATACTCCAATTATCTCCACGGTACTTTGTAACCACTGGGGAACAAAACATATGCTCCCTATTTTTGCATGTGCAAAACCTCTTGTTTAACAGCTTCTGTTAGAAAAACTCGCATCCACAAAACTGCAAGGACTATCAAGACACTAAATTAGTAGTCACAGGTTTTTAAGAAGTTAGGAAATACTTCTTCCTTCTTAAAAAGTAATTCACTGTAAAACAATATATAGCTGCAATCCTAAAATCTCTCACTCTGGAGTTGTGCCACTGAAGCCTGTGGGATAAATCCAGCATAAGCTATTTAAGAACCTTGGCCAAAGGAAAGCACACCAGCCATTCTGCAAAGTGTTGTTTCCCTTCAATTCTTTCTTTAGTCATATGATGAGAGGAGACTCAATGAATCATATTTTTGGAAGGAGAGAGGGCCCAAGAGAAATCTTTAAAGTGCCTGGGTTTTGCAGTGTTTTTGGTCTCGTGGTACACTTATACAAAGTTGACTAAGCAATGCACACTAGGGGAAAAAGAATTCTTACTGACTTCTCTAGTCATGTGATAGATATCCTAATGCATTTCATACTTCATACAGAAAGATTTATGGGCACGAAGTCTATATATTCAGTATCTTTACAAAATGGTGGAGCATTCATGAATACTGAAGGCATCAACAGCCTAATTCTCAGTTGGACAAGCAATTAGCAGATTCAGATAACAGAGAGTTTATACAACTCTATGCATGTGTCTCTGTGTGTGCTCACCAGGACCAGCTTTCTGTCCAATGACTTTCAGTTGTGTTTTGAAACTTTTGTTCAGGAAATTGCTGGTGTGAAAATGACACATTGTAATATTGTTTCTTAAGATGTGCATTGTTAAAAAGTTAGGTCAGAATCAGTTCGACAGTAGGGGATGCTACATGCTGTTGTAATAAGGTTACCAAGTCTACATGCATTTACTTTACTTACTTTCGTTGGCAATGGACACTCATCCAAAAGCAAAGTTATAACAGCTGGTCCCAAGGGATCTTCTAATGGAATAACTCTAATTAAGGATTGGACAACTTCCAGCCAGCCTTCATCTGCCAATCACAAAACAGAGGCAACAGTCTTAGACTGGTAACAATAGATGGAGACAATAATCATATATGAATCACAAGTACGATTTCAATAGCATTTTAACAATTCATCTGAACCACACATCACAGTTAACAAGCAGCTGCTAATCTAGACTGCAAACTCAGCTCCTAGAGATAGGGCAAATATTCATAGCTCTAGGGATTAAGGTTAGGACAAGTTCACACATGCATATTTCTTACTCAACTGCAATACCTAGAGATGACTCATAAGTACAATAATAATAATGATGATGATGATGATAATAATAATAATAATAATAATAATAATAATACCACCAAACACTGAGCATTGACACTTCTCTGTGAAGGCAAGTCACAAATTCAGCTGCATTTTGTAGCATGATGTTTATGTACAATCATGCCATGAGTTTCTACAGCATAGAAATAAGGTGAGATTTTGCTCCCTCCCTGAAGTTCCTTCACCATGTCCCACTAAGTTAATGGGAGCCACTAATGACTGAACCAGATCCATCTCTGCATAACCTCCATCCCTTGGTATGAACAGTGATTTGTAACAGAATGTAGGAACTGGCTTCTATGGGTAATGATTAGTGAATTAGGAAGGATTCCTTGAATACTACGAGGTCTAATACATTATCTCTTGGAAAGCCAGCTGCAGAGTTATTTTATAAGAGGCAAAAGATCAGAAACACACCACCCTTCCTTCTCAAACTATGGTTTAAGTTTAAGAAAGGCACACAGGAGATGGAATGCAACGAAGGTAACACACTGCCTTTCTCAAACCGGTTCCCAGCAGTCTCCTTCTCCAACAGCAGGACACAGAGAGGAATTTGTGAATAGGCTGTTATATTTCCTATCATTTATGTATAAAGAAGATAATCTATAACTTGCTAATGAAACAGGAAAATCTGAACTCTCACGTTTCTGTTCTTGAAGAACATTTTATTTGATCAGTTAGTGACACGGTCTTACCCTGGCTCATTTTCTTCAAGTACCTCACCAAGGAAGGAAGGGAAAAGTCAAAGTGACTGAGGCCTAAAGGCTGCATTGCAGAGCAAGGCATTGTCAGAGCCACAATTGACATTACTGTCTAGATGCTTTTTTCGTTTTCCACATGTTAAGTACAGCACCAATTTAGAAGAATTACATGTAATAAAGTCCAAAGGACTTTGTACACTGAATTTAAGGGAGGGGAAATCTATCTCCAGTCCTTTTTAGAGTTAAAGGGGTATAATTTTTTTATGAGGAAATAAAGGATGATAAACTGTTTGTGTCATGGAAATCCACTGCATCAGACATGAAATTGATCTGCCTCTAGCTGTTCCAAAGAGCTACTCTCAAGTCTTCAGTTACATCTTTAGGAATTGTGCTCCTTAAAACCACAGCTGCATGAGCAGGTGTGGTATTTTAAGCAGCTCCAGAACCGGGGAATTCAGACATCTACAGTTGCTCCAGGCAAAAATGCTTAAAAGGTATAGTGGTCCGGAGCCAACTTCACCCACCTGGTATGCTGAAAGGGGATGACAGGAACTTTAGCCCAAAATAGCTGGAGGGCACTAGGTTGGTGAAGACTGGTCTAGAGATATCAACACACATTTGGGGACATTCTTCCCATATCCTGCAAGGTTCCTCAGTATTTAATTAACATTTTCCTTTTAATTTGGAAGCAAACTATTCCCCTTGTTACTCCAAGGCCTGTTTACTAGCTCAGTGTAAAACCAAAATAAGCCTGTTAGCTTGAGCCTCGTGGCAGCTGGCAGGCTGATTTCGCAACAGCATACCTCATAAATTTAGCCAGATTAGACAGGTACACATATTAAGCTAATTACAAATTTACCAAGCTCATTGTCAAGTAGCAGTATTATTTAGGTAATCACTGTAAAATTGCCTCAACCCTTGGAAATAAACATGCAGTGCGACTCTTAAGCTTCTTTACAGAGCTAAACGGTTTCTTAGTAGATTGCAACTGGAGTGCCACACTAGAGCAGGGAGGTACCTGTTTCAGCCATTTCATGCAAAGTCATCATTGAATAAGGAGGTTCCTGATCACTGGAAGAAAACACAAGACAAAAAGGTTACGTTAATCATTATCAAAGTTGGCACACTCATACCAGCTTACAATGAAGAGCAATGCAGAAGATCCATGACTGTTTAACAGCCAGCTAAGTTCCATGGCTCCTATCCAATGTTAATTTTATTCAGAGTAGAACCAATGAAATGACTGGACATGACTAACTTAGGTCCATGAAATTCAATAAGTCTATTCTGAGTAGAACCTGGTTGGATATAGTCTCATATCTATAATGAAGAAGAATAACTATCATATTTGTTTACTGAATAGATTTTTATGCCACCCTTCCTCTAAGGAACTCAGAGGGGCATACATGGCCACCTGTTTATCTTCTTAACAACCTTGTGAGGCAGGTTAGGCTGAGAGCCAGTGATTGTCATGGTAACCCTGAGCCAAACTGTGGCTGATAAGGACTTTGAACCCTCTCTCTTCACTACTTCCCCATACTGGTGTAGCAGAAAATGTTTGCTAGGCCACAGTCATATCATCAAGTACAGAACCATGGGACTGAAATCCAGGGATCCACATGTACAGATGTGCCTTAAGGACATTTATCAGCCCTACAACAAACTGGAAGTAGAACTTTATCCAATGTGGGGAACACAATGGCTTTGTGGTGGTGCAGTCATCTAGAGTGAACGTGAAAACATTCACTTGGCATACTTGGCATACTAAAACTCTTATTGCACGCAACAGGGCTTCTCTAGACAATTGCCATAATCAGCACCATACCCCAGGATTCAATGGTCAGAAACCTTCATTTGTATCATTAATTTAAGAGACGGTTGGAAGCCTTCCAGCAAAAGGCACTCCTTTGCCTATTAGAAGAAACAAGAAAGCTGATATGGTGGTTTGCCATTAAAACTAGAACCTGGCAGGCCAAACATCTACTGGAACGAACAACATTCTCGGTCATGTGGTGGAAAGTATAGAGGCCAAATGGACCTCCCAAGATGGGGAATTCCATTATCCATAGAAAAAGCCACATCCCAGCCAGCTGCATCTCAGCCACCCTTGGAAGAAGAACAACCTCCCCAGCAAATCTAATGGAGCAGGCAGGTTGGTAAGGAAGATGACTGAGCCCAAACCATTTAGGGATTTAAAGGTAATCATTAGCACACTGATTTCTGCCTGGAAATAAACTGGCAACCAGTGCAATCAGCTGTTGTGGAACTTTGATGAGCATCCACTTACACTCTCACTGCCTCAGAGGATACTGCAATAATCCAAATTCTTAGGATAATGAGACAGTGTCAACACATTAATGTAGAATCTTTTCATTATTTCCACAGTTCCTAAAAGTATACCAAGTGCTTTTATGAAAGTATAAAAACACAGAGGTCCACACCCAAGGTCTAAAATATAAAAGGCAAGACCATTAAAGGAACAAGAGGGAAGAGGGGCAGAGTCCTCCATTCAGAACAGAAGACAGAGCACCTTGCACTCTGGCTCAAGGCCAGCTGCTACACACCAAGTGTTAACGGAACACAGCATGAAAGGGAATGGAAGTTGTGGAGTGCCGAATGACAGAGGGCATGGAAGGAAGAACAGAATGCTTGCGATCCAATCTTGGGGGGTTGGGCTGGGGAGGAGAATCACAAAACTATTTTCCACTTATAATGTGACCATTAGTGCTTGGCAATATGTTCTATCACAGGACTGAATTCCCACTGGCTAAGAATTCTACCGAGTGCTTTCCCTAGTAACTTGTTAGTAGACATGCCCCTTCCAGTGCCCAGGTGAGGGAGTAGAAACAGAGTTTGGGACTTAGCCTAGAGAGACCTGGGTTCAAAACCCTGCCCAGCCATTGAGCACACTGGGTAGCCCTGGGCCAGTTGATAACCCCTGGATGCTACTTTGAGCCCCTTAAAGAAAAAATAGGATCCAAGCAGGATGAATTTTGACTATTGCTAGAAAATTCCCCAAAACAGCCTACTCTTTTTGTAGAAAACTGTCTGTTAGTTTATTCAGGTCAGCTCCCCCCCTCAAGTTAAAGCAATACAATGTTTATAGCCAATAATGCTTGAACAAGATAGTCCTGAAAGCAACTGAACCCATCCCACTGCCCCACACTATTGTATTCTGCGCAAATGGGAGAGTCATTCATTTTGTTCTCAGCACAAGGCAGGTGAAAACAGACGTCATTAACTTGAAAGAAGTGGCATAGGAGAAGCATTGTACTGCTGAGGTTCAATCCAAGTAAACTATTATGCTTGAGAAGAGAGGTGGAAAATGCATTCCATTGTGCCCAGAAGCTTCTGTTTATGCATTACATTTATACCCAGTCTTTCCCTCCACCACAAAACGCAAGGCTGTTCACAAAGGATTCCCAGGCAGTCTTGAAGTCAAACCCTAATCAGACCCAGACCCTCTTTGCTTCAACAAGGTGGGGGCATCACGTGCCTTCAGACTGTGGCCTAGGACAAACAGAAGCCCCAGTCTGTGCCAGAAAGGGCCTCAGACGCTTGGAGCTGGCAGGTAGCAAAGAATGAAGTGATTATTTAAGGAGTTATGAAAGAGCATTTTTGACAGCAGCTCAGATAATAAAGCAGGAAGGAAACTGTCAACACCCTTGTTGATGTTTAAGATACTACAAAGATAACTCAAACTGACAACGAATAATGACAATTTTAATCAGGAAAGGAAGCATTAAGGACAATTTTGTTGGTGCTGTTGCTATGATATGTGGCAGTAGCTCCTCTGCCATTGGAAGGGTGTGATCATGTCTCTTTCCCTCCTCACATAAACTTTGCTTGCCTGGGAAATTCCTTCCTTTGCCTGTCTGCAGCCCCCTGTCCCCAACCACTCCCAATGTGCTCATGGTTCAACAGGGTTATTCAGATCCAATTCAAACATCACAAGCTGTGCCACCAGAGAATGCACCCAGGCATCACTTCTTTGAAAGTGGCTTTATTGCTTTACCCTACTCAGAATCTTTCCACTTATCATTAACCATTATGTAAACATTTGTAAAATTGGCACAACACATATATCACCGGAGCAGCCCTGCTGGACCAGACCAAGCCCAGATTCCTGTTTCCCAAAGTGCTCAGCCAGATGCTTGTGGAAAGTCCACAAGCAGGATAAGGGAATCAGCCATTTCTGGCCATTATTCCAAGCAATGGGCAAAATTGGGCTTTATTTGATTCTGAAAGTATCATCATGACTGGTAGCCACTGGGAGCCTTATTATCTATTAATATTATTATTATTAACAATAATTAAATTTCTATACTGCTCTTCGTGTCTATTCCTCCTTTAACTCTTTCCAATCTGGTTCGAAGGGCAGACCAACAGACCACTCCAATGCATGCTTCTGCAGAAGCAAGTCAACTCAAAGACAGGGGACAAGCACAAGTTGCTGCCCCCCACCTATCCACAAAGACATCTTCAACTGCTGAGTTAGGAAAGGGGTCAGAGAAAAGCCTCCCTAAATAACTGCCTCCTTAGCATGCGCTGCCCAATCTTACAATGCACTGCCAACATACAAAAGGAATTTGGTTGAAGGAAGGAAGTCCAATTGGTTAACAAATCCCAACAGCACTTACTAGCACTATCAGGGTGTCACCTTCCGTCCCAAAGGAAACATTTCTTCTGCCATCAAAGGTGGCAGAACTACCTCTGGCCTCCAAAGACCTTAGGCAGCATCTTGTATATTGCTTTTGTGTCTGTTGAAACTGTAGAAGTCTCAACATGACACAAAGACAGTTTGCCATTTGGTTCTCCTCCCACAACTGGTGTAGGCATTGCAGTGGCTGCCACTCAACGGAATCAGGCAGTGTAAGGTTACAGGGCCGAGTTGGATTTCACTGAAACAAACTTTGGACGTCAAAATGAACTGCTGGAGGGCTGTTCAAAAAGCGCAAGTGTTGCGAAGAGAAGCCAAGAGGAATCTACTATCTTATTCATGGATTGTTCCTGAAACATCTGTAGACATTTCCAATTCCAACATAAAGTTGTCCACTTTTATGCCACTGGAGGGGGACATTAGAGCGGTCTTCACAGATTGCAGCACAGTAATTTACAAGAGAAGGAAGGTACATCCATGGCAATATTTCTCTTCAGGAAGTACTTACTTGTCTACCAACGTCCGAATTACTGCTAGCGTGTCAAGTACTAATCCATCCACGTTATGTTTTTTCCTTCTTGGTTCATGTGGCCCCCGTCCCCGCCGGGGGGGCCTCACTGGGTCCCTTGGGTGGCTCCTGGAGTCCGATACAGGCACTCTGCTGTTCTCTGTCTGGCGACTTCTGGATTCTGTATTGTCTTCTACCCCACTGTCTTCCCGACAAACACAGGAGTTGCCCATGCTGCTAGCCCCCAAGGTTTGCAGCAAACAGGGAATGTGCTGTTCAAGGGTCAGCCGTAAACCTTGGAGAAGGCTCCTGCTCGCATAGAACACAACCAAAGCAACGACAATCATCTAGACAGTTTTAAAAGCAATGTTTTTGGGATCCTGAATTGCAGCTTTTGCATCATATGAGTCTGTAACAACTGGAATGGGCAGGGAATGGCTGGGTAAGTGTCTGACATCATCACTGAAGATACACATTGGTCATCCAAAAGGAGGCCTGGAGGGTAAGAAAAAATACAAGTCCATCAACTTGGATTGAAATTGTAAAATAATGTGACTAGCAAACAAGCTCCTTTGCAAGCAGGCAAACAATCCTAATTTCCCCTTTGGCATACCTTCGTGCCCTGCACCAGAAAGGGAACCTGTACCCTCCAGATGCTGGTGGACTCCCAACTCCCATCAGTCCCAGCCCAGTTCCCCAACCCTGCCTTAAACCCAACAGCTGATGCTACAAAGAGGGAAAACTTGCTTCTTATCCTCAAATCTGCTAAGGCGCCCAGTACTGCAATTCTGTCCCGTTCAGATACCCAGGGCTACAAAAATGCTAATCACCCGCAATTCCCTCCAATTTATCCCCACCCTGAAGCATTCTAACATGCTGTTCTCAAAGTAAACTGAAGCGGGAGAGGGAAATGCACGTATACACAGTTCCTGGGGGAGGCTCAAACTGCATCCAGATCCCCGCCATCCTAAAACAAATGATCAATGCGAGGTTTCTTGAGGCAGCCAGTAGTAAAGTCCTTCCCACTCCTTTGTGTGAGTCCAAAGCCAGCTGCAAGGGAGTTGGGTCACTGAGAAATGCAGGTAGAGTGTGCAGCCAGTATAGTGCTTGAAAAATATTTCTGTTTCTCCAGGAGCCAGCCTCAAGTTGAAAAAAAAGATCAGTTTACTAAGTGGTGGGCATTTAAAATAAAAATAAAAATCAAGGAGCCAGACACCTATGGATTTCAGCCTAGCCCTCCATATACCATGTTGCCTCTTCTACTATGCTTTATTTGAAAATAAGTGTATTCTGATATTCCAGCCAGCTTACCAAGAATAAAAATGTTATCTAACTATCAAAAAGCAGGGTAAAGAACCCCACACAATTCAAGTTGCCCAGTCAGTTTCCATTAGCATTATGCCCCGAAACAAATGGTAACTTGTCAACTGATGGAGGAAATGGCACATAAAGGTCTATGAAGAATTATCTTGCTCTGAAGAGAGTGGAAACGAAACCCACAGCCTAGTAAGCTGCCCAGGTCCAGCTGCCAGTGGTGGCCCCTCCCTCCTCTAACTGTCACCCAGGAAATCTTTGCAGAACCACCCACTCTGCAGCAGAGCAGAAAAGAGGTTACCATCACAGCTTCTTCTAAACAAACAGTTGCCTTTTGCATTGGTTGTTGTTGTTGTTTTTAAAAAATCAGTTCTTATTATTGTAATAATGTTTATATAAACTGCTTTGTGATGTCTGTCTGAAAACCAGCATAGAAATACCTTAAATAAGACCAGGCCAGTGGAGGGAGGAGAGTGATGGGGATGGTGGAGGGCTCAGAACTTGCCTCCCAAAAGCAAGCCAGATGCTGGCACTAAGTTGGCTGCCATATTTGGGTAACCATAAAGCTCTTCTGAGCACGGGGTGGCAAAAGGAGAAAGGAGGAAGAGATGTAACTTCATGACTTCATGACACATGGCCCTCCACAGTGAATGATTGGAATGCATCAACTGGCTTAATTAAAAAAAATACAAGATGCTTGTAAATCTTTAAAAAACAACAACAGGGAAGAGTGATACTGAGAGCTGAACTTTCCATATAGGTTGGTCCTTCCTTCCTTTAGACCAATTCACACCACTATATTGAGAGTGGCATAGCTGTAACTATCAAAATAACCTGCTTTTGTGAAACCACCACTTATAAAAGCTTAGTCATAATATGAAAACTACAATTTAATGGAACAAGGTACAATTTACCTGGATGATTATCAACCCAAAATCCTACCTGAACCAACCCGAGTAAGGTGTAGGAAGTACTAATCTATGTGAAAACTCACATTTAGCCCAGTGATGACTAAAACCCAAGCTTTCCACAGGAAACTGTCTTATTCCAAGTCAGACCATTGGTCCATATAGCTCAGTATTGCTTACATTAACTGGCAGCAGCTCTTCACAATTTCTGATAAGATCTCGCCCAGAGATACCTGGAGATGCTGGGAAGTGAACCTGAGATCTTTTGCATGCCACAGCCCTGTTGACAATACACACCTGTGACAGCAGGTTCAATGCCTGTCTTGTTGTTTTGTCCACCTGTAAAGCTATTCTAATATCAAATTATTAAGGAATTACTGTGAGTGATTTGGAGCTGGCAAATAAAATCTAAGACTCTTAGAATAACTTGTTTCTAAACAAGAATGAGAACTAATTTTTCACTTGTTGGTTACAGTTAGAATTTCTACCACTCTCTATTGGGAGAAAATAAGTGCTCTACTGATTAAATATAGAAGTGGGGGTCAATTATATAGTGAGGGTCAATTATTAGTCATATTGATCCATCATACATGAGATATACCATTCGCGTGTATGACTAATATATATATAATCACACAGCCTGAAAGTCAGTATATTTAGATCATCCAGCACATCAGTGCGTAAGGCAGAAGAAGGGGAGGAACTCAGTTTCACAGATTCCTAGAGGCTGAAGCATCAAGTCAATCATCTTGAAACTTCATAACTTACAACAATCCATGAAATGACTGTGCACTTAGGATGAAGGTACACCGATGCAAACCTATTAAAGTTGTTCCTCTGCCTTATTTTTCCCTAAACTGATACAGGCTATATAACAGCACACATAATTTGGTTTCAAAGCACAATGTCCAAGTTTCTCTTTAAATCATGAGGAGCCAACTCATGGTGTAAAGCCAGTGAATTAGCACAGTACTCAACTAACAAGGGGAAACTCTCCTCAGTTTGCCAGTTTCCTGAAAAAGAAGTTCTACACAAGCTGCAAAGACAAAGATAAGCTGCAAATGCGAAGTTAAGTAGCCCTTACAGAAAGCAAAACTGCTCTGTTGGGCACTCAATTCATAAACAAGTTATTTGTGAACCAGCCATCTTACAGCTCACAGTAAATAGTCTATGTAACTTCAGCTGCCACCCCACCTTAATGCACTTTAGATATATACAGGTTGAACAGCTAATTTGATTGAAGTGACTGTATTTTTCCTGTATTTTCCACTTAAGTACATCAACCTATAAAGAACACAGCCAGCCAATTTCTAGCTTCTCGTTTGTTTAAGCTTTGTCTCACATATGCCACATACCCCTCTACCCCTCTACAGAGACAGAACATTTCTGGCACTATGGAAGCTATGAGTCAGTCCCTTGTGAAAAGACACGGGGAGCGGGGGGGGGGGGGGACGACAACGAGGGACTGAAGTGTATGCAACACCTTTCCTTATCAGCTCTCAACTTACTCTACCTCTGTAAGAGAACAAAACGCATAGCATGAAGTTCAACTACACTGTCTGATCACCACAAGGATTTCTGTTTGCATAACATGACTTCCCCACCTCCTCCCCCTCTGTGCCCTTGCCAAATCTGCTCAGGAGTGTTAGGGGAAACCCTAGAACAGACTTAGGTGACACATAGCGTAAGGACGGGGGCATAACGTTCTGTTGCACAAGCAGAAATCCTTGCACTGATGAGACAAGGTAGTTAAACACCGTCCATCCAATGCATTTTGTTCATGTAGCGCTATGATGGATACAACCCATTATGTATAACTTACCACATAAGATTGTGCTGTTCTATATATTTATGAAATTTAGAAATATAGCAGCTTTAATTTTGCTCACACAAATAATTTCCAAACCATCATCCAATAAAATTCACAGCCCTACATAGTTGCAGTAACTTGCTGTATGAACAAACCAGTGTGTTAGTGGCCAAGAAATGCATTGGGAACCAAGGGTATCATTCACAGGTCTGGAAAGCATTGCACAGTACAACTTAGAAAAAACAACAACTTCCAAGCAAGGGTTTTTGGCCCTACTATCAGCAGGCCTTGCGTGGTCTGCCTGTCAGACAGTTCAAGAACTCCCTTCAAATAGCCAGAATGCTTTTGGTCACCTCCGCTTATCAGAGGAACACACACATTGGGAAGTGCTAATACAGTACTGATGAAAACTAGACTTGGCTACTGCTAGTTCTGTGAATCAAGGAAGCAGCACGAGGACTTCCAAATACCAGCCTCTTTCAGCTGCTCTCTGTTAACTACTACAGCACATGTATTTTTAGCAACATGTTTGCCAACTGATTGCATCAGACACAAATTCTTCCAGCAAGAGTTCTATTTTTGTGGGCTCCAGGCACAACACTAGAAATAAATACCTTTTGACACCTGATACTCTCCTTTTCTTAGCACGTACACACAACACACACACACACACACACACACACAGAATGCCTACTATGAGCCAGCGTAACAAAATAAAGACTTAAAAGAACACTTGATTTTTCTACACAATAATCAATTTCTCAGAAACTCTAGGAATGAACTGCCACCCTTTGTGAAAAAAGCTGGTCTCCTCATTGAATAGCTAACCTCCCCCTATATTCCAATTCATAATATTAATAAGTGCAGAATTCTAGCTTCTGCAAATACAGGCGTATACCACTTGAAACAGAATATGAAGTATGCAAATTTGGTTCCTTAATTTACTGAACAATTCTAACTGTAGAATGCACATTTCCCCTTGTGCACTGCCTGAAATAAAAAGCTGAACAGGCTTGCTCCACAGGCACTATTTCTATGGGAAGGTCTCTAATAAAAAGACATCCACGCTCATAATTTTAACATGTTATCCAATGTAATCTATATGATCATCCCACCAAATTTTCCTGGTCCAAACAACTCGGCAGAGGTGGTCAGCTAAGAACTTGGCTGGAAACGGTTTTGAGCGCAGGCGCCTCTAGAGTAAGGAGGGAAGGAATCAATGATTCACAGCCTCAAGTGTTTCCTTACACTCAACCATAATCACCTCATTGTGGAAAAACCCTGCCCACTCTGAATTCTTGCCAAGAAGCCAAAGTTGAATACAGGGATGACTTCAACCTTTCAGTTTCCAGTCTTAACTCAGTAATAGCTGGATTTTTCCCTCACCCATCGTAAATACATAAAACCCATAGCTCTAAGAGAATCAACTCACAGAAAGTTAACACAGAGATGCTGTTTGCATT